CTCAGATCATGTTTTATTTGCTGGCACCTATGCACACAGACTCAAGAACACTAGTCTGCTAACTGGAAAGCTATATTGTAAACCTTCTGGTTTAAGCTCTAAAAGTCAATCCATCTACATTCAAGCTGACTTAGGTCCAATGGAATGATAATTAATTTTGCAGACAAAGTACGCTAAAGTTTTGTCAGATGTTATTACACTTTGACATTTATAAGACAGTAATGAAGAAGTAGTATGAAATGCTTTTAGTGATCTAGTGAGATCCTCAATTAGTGGTCAGAAAAATGGTTAGCTTCTGTCAACACCTACTTTATTCAGAAATTTTCCTAATCACCTTTTAAGCCTAGGCTTTCTTCTTTGTATTTTAGTTTCCTTGCCTTTATCTTTGCTGCTACAAATAACAGTTTCAAACTTAATCTTAATTCAATAGAAAAAAAATACTTCATTGACTATTAAAGAATACACATAAGACTAATAGTATATACATACATAAGCAACTGTCCTCTGCTGGCTTTTCATTTGGTGCTGGGCAAAAACAGAGGGATTCTACTAGTTTTTTTGGGATATAGGGTGAGAAAGGGAATTTGGGATTCTTGTTGTATTTTCTACTATCCTTTATTATTTAACATATGTAGGCTAAATAGTAATAAGAAATGGATCCTTTTTATGATAGGTAAGTTGTCTAATGCCAAAGTAAAGCTCAAGCTATACGTTTATTTTCAGTGTATTCCAGAATAAAAATACCACAACAGTATTTTCTCCAAAAACTTTTATAATAAACACTGGATATAAAATTTCTGGAGAGTAGTAAACACAAAAACTGAGAGCTGAAAACCTTTCACAGCTTTTTGGCTTGTCTGACTTTTTTTTCCCCCTAAGTCTCAACTCTCCTCCATAATTACAAAAGAAAAGCAGAATCTTCTTTCCAAGAAAATTTGTATTAGTTGTGATGCCTTCTTTATTTCACTTTCCACACAGACACTAAACCGTTTTATGAATAACTGAACTTAATTTCATAAAATATATTATTTCTTTTTAAATTCCCATACACTTTAAGAAAAAGATAATACCAGTATGGAAATGTATCTAATAAATATATTTTTCAGTACAGTATACTGGTATTATGTCTATTGACAGAATTTATCTTTGAGTAAGAGAATCTAAAACAGATCATAACAAAAATGGACTAAAAGAAAGACCTTACAATCTACTGTCATTTGTTCTGTCATCTCTATAAAGTTAATGGGTTGGAAAAATGGTCAGCCTTTGGAACCAAAGTTGATATTTAATTGAAAGGAAATGCATTTTTAATTGTAATTTCTTCCCCCACTCCTCTGTAGCCCTGTGATTTCCTTAGTTTTTAAAAAATGCCAGCATGAATGTGAAAAAGAACCATGGAGGGTAAAATGAGGGTTCATATTAATCTGTTTGTTAGTAATAAAAATATAAATATTTGAGATGAATAAAAATGTTCCTTTCCATGTGCTATAAAGGAAATTGAAGGGAAGATATGTATGTATATTTTCTTAAAAATTTATTTTTAGTTTTGTCAGAAAGAACAAGTTGGATGAATTAAACGGTGACTGGGCTAGTTCTATGACTTAAGTGACCATATTACAAAATAGTAGCAATAGTCCTATAAATAATCCTAATGATAAGGAATAACATGATATATTGATAAGAATGAATATATTCAAATGAAGGAATATGAAATTAGCTGGATCAGTTTCACATCCAACAAAATGGTAGTTCACTACTGTTTTGGTATAACAGCCATGCAAATTTTTATTTAAGGCCTTTTATAAAAGCCATAGTAATACAGGAAGTATATTTTCTTTTAATTGGTCAGAAATAAGAAAAAGTTTAAAAGAAAATACTTGTGGAAGTCTTACTGTAATTCCGTTATGAAGTTATTATGATGCCAAGTACTTGTGTCTTGTTGTTAAGGTGCTTTTACTCTATACCCTGTAGTCTACCATTTGTAAACACATCTTTTTGATGTTTCTGCCAACATCCTGGCAACAAAGCAGTGCAATTTCAAATGAGCTAATTAACTTAATTGTTGATGAAGCATGAAACAGTTCATTCACCCTGTTAGCTGCTCCATGACAACATAAGAGTCTGAGCCTGTGAAGTTACTCATCTCCATAAACCTATCTGTAGCTCTCTGTTTAGATCTCTTGTATGGCAGAATTGTGCATGGAAAATGTTTCATAGAAGATGCATATTCTTATTTGAAAAGGAACCTCTAAAATTAAAAAAAAATTATCACCAAATGAAGAAATTAAGGATACACAAAGTTTTTATTTTAAGCTAGAGAAGCCGTATGATTTATCATACAACTAGACGGTCATGTGTGATCGCTTTTGTGATCCTGAGGGCAACAAGTAACAAAGGTAGATGAAATACAATTGTTAAAATTTTGGCTCCTATTAACTTTCATCTTTTCATTCAATCTCAATATATGTTAAATATCATTATTTAAAGGAAGTAATATCAAGTTTGTGATGAAAAAAATAAACTTGTAAAATATGTCCATTTAAAATGGATATATTACAGGATGCCTCCTGTGATTTTACTTAAAATTTTTATTAAAAACTTGAAATTTAAGTGAATCCTGCACAAATATCCCAATTGTTAATGGCACTATTACAGTATGCTAGTATTTTTCATTCTTTCAAAAACCCCTATTGAATGACTTGTAAAATATTTTGATGAAAAGGTAAAGACAGACAGTTGCCTTCTTAGCCTGACTTTGGTCATGCACTTGTTGGAACACACAGAAAACTCAGAGAGTGCTTATGATGGACCTTTACTTCCCCCTTTCAGCTTTCTCTTATTTACAACAATGCACTTAATACTCCCCCAAACCCACCCCCCTCCCTAAAAAACATACGAAACCTACTTTAAAAACTGTCCAAAATCTTCACAAATGCTTTCACAGCCCGGCCATTTGCAAACTCCATGGCCATACAGAGTGTGAGAAGCCCCAGTCTCCTCGTGTGACGAGCTGTAGCAAAAGAACACGGCGTCAGAGTCATCTCAAAAAGCCATAATCGTTGCAGGCTGCTAGCGCCTGTCAGGTTACGATCAGTGACAAACAGGTCAAAACAGGTCAATTCAGCTCAGAGCAGTCAGAAAAATTTAATCGTTCTATTGAATAGTTCAACTGCCAAGGCTAGATGATGTTCCAATTAGAGGAGAAATAGAGCCAAAGATGACTGTTAATAAAGGATGAAAAACTAAGGGGACTGTATAATATCATATGCTAATCTTGCCATATGACCTTAATGTAACATTTACCTCTAAATAAAAAAAATATATATTCATATGTGGTCAAGTGAAATAAGCCTGTGTTTTTAAGAAGGTAATAGGACATCCACCGTAAGATTTTTGAAATGCTCTTTTTAAAGAAGATATGGACCGTCAGGATCATTTAAATTGTTTAATATTTATGTTTGAGCCATATATATTTCCACTAGTTACTGCTGATTGAAAAAAATTCTACTTGGGAACAATATTCATTAGTTACTTCCTTCTATAATTATCAAAGACTTTTGATAAGTGAGTATTATATCACATGGAGTGATCCTAGAAAAATCAACCAACTTCTGCAGTATATAATCATCAAATTATCTCAATTAAAACAACAGCATGAAAGCATTCAGAAACATACCATTTTTAAAAGATGAATACTAACAAGAAAAATTTTTCATAATACTCAAATGAAGACCAGAAACACCAAATTACAGCATTCTATTTTAAAATTTACTGTAATTAAATATCGGTTTCTTTAAAAAAATTCTTTGTGAGAAAGAATCTGTCACAGCTAGGCAGACACTTATATTATATAACAGAATACTATGAATCCACTACACTCAAATACGAAGTTTAGAGCAAAATACCATAGGAACGTAAGTCAATCTGTTAAGAAATCCTGCGCTTATGTTTCATCCTTTAAAAGTAATTTTTATGTTAAACAATATTTTAGCTTATATATCTTATGAAAATTACTTTAAAGGACTTGATTAGATATGGCTACATGCTTGAATAGGTGGAAGTAAATGGACAAAAGTACATGGGTGCTCCTTTTACAGAGGCCATTTTTACACAACTAAAATAAAACAAGAAGTCGAAAATTATCTAACATAATGTATTCAATGTTGGTAACTGAAATCAAGTAATTTTTCCCTATGAATTTTGAGTCAAATTCACTCAGAGTTACCATCATAAGTTTGTTTTTTATATAACTATTAAGTCCCTCATGCTCCAATAATAAAATAAAGGTAAACCAGATATTTTATCTTCTGGTTTATTATACCTTTGTTTGTACCATATGTATAGTGATTCTCTGATACCCATGGACATGTTCTTAAACATATATTAAGTACACATTTTTCAACATATACTAAGGGGAATATATATATACATCTTTAGATATTTGAAAGGGGTTCTTAAGTTTAAAAATGGAAAAATGTTCTCATTTCAGCAATCCAGCTCATCACAACATATTAGCCATAAAAATATGTCGACACAGGAATTCCACATGCATGTATTAAAAAATAACTTTCTTCAGGACAATTCCCCACCGTTTCCATCAAATTCCTGGTATTTGAGCTACTTTCTGTAATTAAAATAACATATAATGTAAATAATCTAAAAGTTTTTATTTAATTTGTTCTATACATTTTGCCCCTGTTAAGTCAGATCATAATCCTCAATTTCATGAACGGTGAAAGTAAAAGTTGGTGACAGACAAATACAGAATAAATCTCATGAGATTTACCTGTCCCGCCTTGCACTTAGAACTGAAGACTGTCCATTCACTATGGAATGATGGGTTATTGGTGGTGATGCTTTGGAAGTGGTGGAGGAGGTAGTCGAGGAGGAATTGTTAGTAGTGAGGTCTAGCCCTCCATGTTTAATGCCATTGTCTTCCATACTGTGCACTCCAGTCACTTCTTTCCATAACTGCTGAATCTCAGCAGGACTTAAGCCAGCTATAAAATGAAAGAAAGCCCCACTAATATAAGAAGGTAAAGTTCATATAATGAGCTTAGTGTTATTACTGGATTAATGCCAACAACAAAAGTGATGTTACCAGCATAATTAATATACAATAATAAATCACTTTATACCATCAGCACCATAGCCTTTCTGATGAATAATCAGTTATTTGCTAAAGACTACCAATTTGGGAATAGTACTGGGAATAATAGTATTGGAACTAATATCAAGGATTATTGGAAAAACCCAGCAAGTTCTATTTGAAAGCTAAACTATTTAACTTTCAACTGCAGCTTTTACTTATTGCTAGTATTAAGTTTTTAATCAGTGAGAAACTGAAAAAGAAATAGATTTTTAAATGAGATATGTTGAAAGAAATGAAAAGAAAAAAAAAAGAAGGAGGGTAAATAAAAATGTCAGGGAAAAACAGTAAACATTCAACTCAGAAAAAAGATACATTTGACAATTAACTTTGACAAAGTTACTTTGTTCTTTCTCAGAACAACAAAGAAAATAATAGAGCTTCATTTGGAGGTCCTAAATAAGCCACTATTCTTATTTACATGGATCAATTAAGTAGATAATATGAAAACTTCATTTTATGGCCAATAGAATAAATGAACTACTCATTTTAAACAACACCTTGTTTCAGATCATGGAAATTTACCAGATCTATGAAGAATGAAAACAGAAAATCAAGGCACAATCTTTTAGCTTTTACCTATAATTCTGAAATAAGGAATTGAGAGATTACTGCTTATAGTATTTGACTTACATAATAGTACTTATATGTGCCAAGTACTATGCATTCATGTATTCTCTCTATATCTTGTGCTCCTTAATCCTCACTAAATCCAATAGAGTTGATAACTGTACTTTAATCAGTTCATGGATAAGGAAGCAGTGTGAGAGAGAGGTTCAAAATGTATCCAAGGTCAAAAAGCTTCTATGTGGTAAAGCTTTGATTTAAATCCAGGAAGTTTGATCTGAATGACTTTTCTCTTAGAATATTACTTTAAAAATATGGAAACTACTGAATAAAGACATACAGGGGGAAATGCAGTTGTAATTATGATTACTATCACTTACTGACCACTTGCTGTAGTCTGATGCTTTACATTAATAATCTCAATTGACTTCACTTGAAGTTAGGAATTATTCCACTTTACAGATGAGGGCATGGCATGGAGGTTTGGAAAGATTAAAAGTTACCAAATCACTACGCTCACAACTAGTGGACAGAATTCAAACCTAATTTGATTTTGTTGCTCCAAAATCTAGGTTCTTCATTATTATGTGCATCTACAACATCTAATACAAGGATGGAAGTACTAATTTGATATCTGTACCCCCACAACCCAACACACGTCTACATCAGATACAAGGGATACCGATCAATCAAGAGGTGTGTGAGAGTGGAGCAGGATCGAACAGGCGGGGGAGACTAGGGGAAGATAACAGAACATGATGTCTAGGAGAGTGAGCCCTCTCACCCCTACCCCTGCAACTAGAAAATCCATCAATATGAACACAGTAGTAAGTAGCCCAAAGTGACAGAAGAATTCTCACTGCTCCAAACATAACTTCTGGTCAAATTATTCATCACAGTGGTAACCTTAAATTGCTATGCCTATCACAATTTCTTACAGACAGTTTTACTGAAAACTATCATTTTGGTGATTCTGGCTCCTGAAGATTTTAAAACAGCCTAAGACTGAAGAAAAGACTGAATAACTTAGGTTTCCAGTTATTTAAAAGAATTTTTTTCTACATAAAAGAGGATGGCTTAATAAACTAAGGTATTCCTCTGTTAGACAGGAAATAATTTCTATATAAACATCATTAATTACTGCTTTAACCCACGATTCTGAAACTTAGCTGACTGAACTCCATTAGCAAATCCTTTTACGTAACAGCTTCTACATGTCTTTCTGCATGGGAACCCTCACCACCTCACTCTGCCTCTCTGCCCCAATGTCCACTCTTGCCTGGACCATGCCTATCCTTTCCTGTCTTCCTGCTTTCCCCTTGCCTTGCTATCATTTACTTCTTGTCATTTATCAGCCAAAATCTCTCTCTTTAAATGTAAACTAGGCAAAGGCATTTTCCAGACAAAGCCTCCAATTGCTTTACAGAACACTTAGGAAAAAAAAATACACAAGAAAAGAAAGGGAGCACAAAACAACAAAAAACCCTACTATGGCCCAGGTATCATTTATTACCTGGGCCTCGCCTGCTTCTCTGACCTCATCTATTGCTCTCTCTCTCTGCATTTCACTCTGCTATGCTAAATTTCTTCTGCATCTTAAAGGCATCAAATATTTGCTCCCCTTCCAGTTTTCACTCTGGCTGTTCCCACAGCACAGGCGATTTTGGTTCCTCACTTCCTTCATTCAGATGATTTATGGGTCACCTCCTCTGAGAGGTCTTTGACCACACTCTCAACTACTGCCTCTCTCTACCTTGCCTTCTAATATTCTCTATCACCTCACTCTGCTTCATTTTTCTTAAGAGCACTTATCAGTCTCTGAAACTATATTATTTGTTTTGTTATCATCAGTCTCCCTCTACTACAATTTAAACTTAAAATGGTAAGAGCAGGGATTTCTTATTTTACTCATCTATCCTCGGTCCCTAGAACAGAGCCTAGTATGTGTTCAATAAATAGTAGTTGATTTAATTGATTATAACAGATTCATGGAGTTCTTGAAGGGATTTTGGTTTCCGCAGGGAAGTTCTGTGGCTCTTGCAGGGTATACTAGTTATGAGTACTGCTATTCTGTAAAGCCAATGTCTAAAGAAGTATAAACTAGTTGATCCTAAAGACCGAGTGGCTAATAAAATTTTATATCTTGGCTAAAGACTCTTAGATGTTTTCAGAGACTATATCAGTTAGAGATGTTATTAATAATTTAGTTTTTGAATCTTATTAATAATTTAGTTAACCTAAGTATCCACTTACCTTTTAAAAGCAGACTTCTATTATACTACTCATTTGTATGGAAAATTAGTGGTATCAGCATGGTATCACAATGACATGGCAACAAATACTAAGCACACAGATATTTGATGAATAAATAACCTGTTCACTATCCAAATAATGATTCTTAATTAAGTGGGGAAGGAAATGGTTTTTAAATATTACAGATAAGGGGCAGAGAATAGATGATGTCAAAAAGAGATTCCTGTTAGTAGAAGTGGTTCCCCAAAGCGTCTGCATATTAGACTCACTTGGGGACATTTTAAAACATCCAGTGTCCTGACCATAGCACCAACCAATTAAATCACAATTTCTGAAGGTAGGACACAGGTATCAGTCTGTTTCTGAGGCTCCACAGATGATTACAATGTGCAGACAATTTTGGAGGAAAAATTTTAAAAGTAAACTATCACATTGCTTATGAAAAAAATTTTTCACATCTACAATTTACTTAGCTCTTTTCTATGGATACAAAACTATGAATATGAAACAAACAGCCAATCAGTTTTATACAATTTTGAAAGTTTCATGAGTTTTGAAGTTTTGAGGTTTGCGAAAATTAATTTACTTTTGGGCAGTAATGTAACACGTTCAGTATTTCCTAAACTGTGTTCTGTGGGACAGTAGTCTTCTAAACACTCCTAATCTGAGAGATCTAAGAGGTCTGTGGTCTCTATCTTGGAGACACCTGATTAATGTTAACATGTACATCAGTTCTGTGACGTCTAGGACCAAAAAAACCTCGAGTCTCTTCTTCAACTCAGTGTTTTACAATCCATTTGAGGATAAAAAGAAAACAACTGACAAACTCTTTTTACAATTGCATTGATTTATTTCAGTTTTAAATAATGAAGGTGGCCTTAGGATTCATCAGGTGCTCTCCAGCCCCTCCCATGAACTGCAGGCTGCCTGTTTATAAACTTAATGGACTTTTTCCAAAATTAGCTTAGTTCAAAACTAAGCTTCTATTTATGCAGCCCCATGGAACCCAGCTCACTGCTCCAGTAGGTTCCTTTGTTTCTGTTTTGTTGATAATTTACAGGGTACTTCTGATATACTAGTCACTTTTCTCCATGCTTTAGTGCTAATCTAATACCCTGAGCTACTATTATTCTCCCCATTTTAGAGATGAGGTCACTGAGGAACAGAAAAGTTGAGTAACTAGCTCTAGAGCTAATGCATGGCAGAGCTCCACATTTTTGGCCACTGCTCACATCACCTTTTTCCAGGACTCCCTCCCTGGCCACCCTGTCTACAAGTTCAACCCCTACCATTTCTAAGGTTTCTTTCTTTTTTCCTACCCTGATTTAATTTTATCCCATAGCACTTACCGCTATATATTTCACTTAATTTGAAATCTAAGTTTTGTGACGGCATGGATTTCTGCCTGTCCTATGACTGCTTTGTCCCCATTTCCTACAGGAGTGTGTATAGTGAGTGAAAGCTCAATGTGTATTACTTAAGAGTTGCTCAAAGACCAGAACAGTAGTGGTGCATGATCTGGCAGTCAATGGACTAGACCATCATAGAATAATAGTCAACTTAAAATCCTAAGGAAAGATTATTCAGTTTTCTTAGTAACTTATTTCAAGGATACACACATAACAATACTAGTGCCAAAAAGTTGCATGATTATGTGATTTTAAAATTCCATGACCACAAAAAAATCAAGAAATGATGATGGATGATGGCTTTGGGATGATGACTTGGACCTGCTCTCGTTCACTGCTAGTACCACAAATAAGCATCCAAAGGTTTGTTTTTCTAGGAGTTGAATGAATAAAAGGATGAATTCCTAATCAAATGGCATGTAATACCACAGGTACAGCAATTAAATAATAATTCCTTAATCCCAGATTCCGAGTTTGTGGAGTATCTATTGGGTGACAAGTGCTGCACTAAAAATTAATTAAAATTTGATAATTCACATCTAGATTATACATTCTTGGAGCACAAAAGGTTTAAAATTTCCAATATTTTACTTACTGGTAAAAATTACATTAGCAGCTTTTT